TTAAGGGGGTCTGAATACTTTCCGTACCCACTGTATATATACATTATATATTGTTTTTAGGTTTTAAATTAGAAAGAAAGACTTGTGTCTTTGCGAGACTTGTTCATTAGCCGCAGCACTTCACGTCTGATGTGTAACCCACTTAACAAAGTGCAGTAAACAGTAAAAAAAATTGCGGCACAAATTAGTGTTTATTAGTACATTAATAAATGTAAAATAATTTGAATACAAATACTAGTTTACAACATCCAGCAGCACAGTGAACTGTTTTGCACACCTAAGGCTAAATGGAGGTTGTTGACACCCCCTCGAACACTCAAATTCACGCTAGCTATTCAAATTCATGCTATTAAAAATAAGATGGTAGCATAAAAATGAATAGTTTCCATGGATCTAGTCTTTGCATCTGTTTGTTTGATGTTTGAATCAGGTCTCCTCTGTTGGAATAGAATTGGCTGATGGCGCTGTCACAAAAAATTAGGGTCCTAGTAGAAATGCGGTCCTAATTTATTGATGATAATTGTTTAAATTAATATAATAATACTTTTGACTCATCCATTTTATTAAAAATGGTTTAAAGGCTGAAATGTGTAGTGTATCATTTTATAAAACTGTTTTTGTGAGAACTTGTATCTAAACTGTAAATCATGCTTTTTACAGTCATTTTACAGTTTAATATGTTACTATAAACATTGCCCTACCCTGCTCATATGGTATTAATTTTATTTGTGCAGGTCTTAGAAAAGGTCTTAAAATCTTAAATTTGAGCTTAAAAATCCTGCAGAAACCCTGCTTAATTGAATTTATGATTTGTATTTGTTTCATACTAGTGCAATTATGATGTTTGAATCAGGTCTCCTCTGTTGGAATAGAATTGGCTGATGGCGCTGTCACAAAAAATTAGGGTCCTAGTAGAAATGCGGTCCTAATTTATTGATGATAATTGTTTAAATTAATATAATAATACTTTTGACTCATCCATTTTATTAAAAATGGTTTAAAGGCTGAAATGTGTAGTGTATCATTTTATAAAACTGTTTTTGTGAGAACTTGTATCTAAACTGTAAATCATGCTTTTTACAGTCATTTTACAGTTTAATATGTTACTATAAACATTGCCCTACCCTGCTCATATGGTATTAATTTTATTTGTGCAGGTCTTAGAAAAGGTCTTAAAATCTTAAATTTGAGCTTAAAAATCCTGCAGAAACCCTGCTTAATTGAATTTATGATTTGTATTTGTTTCATACTAGTGCAATTATCTTTTTATTTCAGTAATTAGTGCTCAGCCTTAGTACATAATACTAACAGAAGATCACATTGGACCAGTGTTCAAAACATCAGTAAAAATATTAGGATGTTTTTTTTTTTTTTCTTTTTGGTCATCTCTGTTGATATGGTTTTGCTCTCCAGCTTGATGAGGAGTTCCTGGGCAGACAGGAAGCTCAAGCCCAGTTGTTGAAGAAGGAGGAGAAGATCAATGAGCTGGAAGCTGAAATTCAGTCCTATAGAAACCAGGTACCTATGCTTCTTTTCTTCTTTATTTTGACCACTTCTGTCACTGTTTTTGATGGCATTGCTGCTGGGATTCCTTTCTTTCTATTCTCACTGTTTTATTTCGGTCTCCCTTTCTGGATTCTCTGTGTTTAATTATTTTTCTTTCTGATATTGCTTTGTTTCGGTGTTCGAGACTGACTGTTTGGTTAGTTGACATAAAATTATGAGAATTGAAGATCACGACACCAAAGAAGGCTGACCAGTATAAGTAATTATTTCAATTAAATTGGGAGCTTTTTCCTGCGTCCTGCTAGAAGTAATCAGTGCCCGGTGTTTCAATAAAAAAAAAGCTAAAATGTGATTAGTGTTTAAAAATCCATTTGCACCGCCATCATGTTCTAGCTAGCCAACAAACAGAGAAGGGTTTTTTCAGCTGATGACGACTGGGTTAGCGGAGCAAAGGAATCAGTGTGGACCTCAAAAGTCGTTAAATACAGCTATACCAGCCAGGATGACTTCTAGACACTTACTGGATGATAACATTCTAATCAAACCTGCCAGATTCTACAAGTCCAAGATGCACTGAATAATTTAGTCTAAAATGTGTTTTTTACCTACTAGCCTGTTATTCAGTTCATTATATTAGGAGAATGAATAGGTCCCATAGAGTAAAGGACATCACTCGACTGCCCTTGCACAGTTCAAATAAATTATGGTTGTCATGAAGAAATTGAAAATGAAATGAAAAGTGTCGTTTGCGGAATTACATTTAGATCTACTCATCTTGGGTCATATTTCTTTTTATGCGTTTTTGCAGCATTGTGTTTTATAACCAATCGCACACAAATCTGTTGAGCTTATGAATGCAGTGACAAATCAGAGAAACGCTGGAGTTTTGATCGGTGCAAACTCGCAGACTGAATTCTGCACTCTTGCAAATTCTCTCATCATAAAACAACACAGTGCAGATGTATATATGATGTAAGTAAGATTATTTCACAGTGTAGATAGCTTCATTGATTATAACGGGAGTTGTTTTGAAAGCACCTAAACTGAAGTCAATGATAATGTTAGAATATTTGATAATGTTCTTTGCTCAAATATTTTATGATATTACACCTATATCTGGTACTTGCCTTAAAGATGGGCTCAGAATCAGAAGGAGCTTTATTACCAATTATGTTTACACACACAAGAAATTTGACTTGGCAACAAGAGCTTCCAGTGCAGAAGAAAGTACACACATAGTGCAAACATACATGATAGTGCAGACATACATAGAATTACACAGTAAAGATGAAATAACACTAATACAAGAAAAAAAGAAAAATAAATAATGCACTATATGTAGAAATAGAAATATAGAGAAAAAAATATAATGGTTTAAATCAATGTACAGATATGTTATTTACAAGTGTACCGTTTATGTAGTTTACAGTATACAGTTTCCAGATACTATGTATAAAATGTCAGTTATGATGGACAGTGTGTAGTTGTGAACTTCTTAATTGTTGGCTGGATATGGCCTCCGGGAAAAATCTGTTCTTATGCCTGGCTGTTCTGGTGGTCGGTGCTCTGTAGCGCCGGTAACAGGCAACAGTTTGAAAAGAGAGTGGGATGGGTGTGAGGGGTCCAGTGTAGAGGTCTTCACGGGTCCACTTGGATCTGAGAACCCGAGGTTCGACCCGAGACCCGAGCGGGTTCGGGTCCAAAACTTCGACGAGTACTTTGGACATGGGTCGGGTTCGGTATTAGTGGCCTCGAGTCTCGGGCTAATTTAAAATAAACATGCTTTTTCCAAATGGACCCGACTAGACCCGAATTCTTTTAAACTATCCCGAGTGTTTTCACTTTCATGTTAAGTGAGGAATGCACATAGAAAAGAAGCATACGTTTGTAACCTCACACACAGAAATCATCTTATAGATATGAGATCCATCAGGAAAATCCACTCGCTTCATTATGCTGCGTGTTCATGCAGGGCTTTTTTTAAATTTGGTGTGCAGAAGCCTTTCGCTGGAGATCAGGTTGCAGACAACACTAGCGAATCCATGAATTATTAGGCTATCGATTTTTATCTAACCATCACGTTTATTTTTCAAATCCACTGGTCACAATTGAAAGCCGAGCTCAGAAATAACTTGTATCCATCAGGCAGGCACTAATATAAAGTAGCCTAATAATAAATTGAATAAATGTTAAATAAATCAAAGTAATGGAGAAGCGGCCAAATCAATCAGCAGGACACCGGGATTTTTCCTGACGGACTGCAGGGCTGCAGGCTGTACACACGTCAATGCTGTTTACGTTCGATTCCAGTCGGGTTCGACATTAAAAGCCGTCGGACTCGGGGTCTAATTTCATGGGGTGATTGGGTGATTCGGGTCGATTTGGGTCGGGTACAGATTTTAGGACCCAAGAAGACCTCTAGTCCAGAGTGATTTTCTTAGCCCTTTTCCTTACTCTGGAAGTGTAAAGATCTTGGAGGTTGGGCAGGGGGAACCAATAATCCTCTCAGCAGTCCTGACTGTCCGTTGTAGTCTCTTGATGTCTGATTTGGTTGCTGAGTCAAACCAGACAGTTATGGATGATGTATGGATACACAGGACAGACTCACAGACTCAGTGATGGCCGAGTAGAACTGTTTCAGCAGCTCCTCAGCTGGCAAAGGAAATACAGCCTCTGCTTGGCATTTTTCACAATAGTCAATGTGAATGTCCCACTTCAGGTCCTGAGAGATGGTGGTGCCCAGGAAGCTGTTCATAATGGTGAGTGGGGGGAGTGCAGGGGGTTTCTCCTGAAGTCCACTATCATCTCCACTGTTTTGAGCGTGTTCAGCTCCAGGTTGTTATAACTGCATGGCCTTTTTCACAATAGTCAATGTGAATGTCCCACTTCAGGTCCTGAGAGATGGTGGTGCCCAGGAAGCTGTTCATAATGGTGAGTGGGGGGAGTGCAGGGGGTTTCTCCTGAAGTCCACTATCATCTCCACTGTTTTGAGCGTGTTCAGCTCCAGGTTGTGATAACTGCACCAGACAGCTAGCTCTTTAACCTCCTGTCTGTAAGCAGACACGTCTCCAGAAAGGGTCCAGTAATGTCCTTCAGGTAGGCCAGGACTAGTCTTTCAAATGACTTCATGACCACAGACGTGTGAGCGACAGGTCTGTATATTTGTTAAGTCCATTGATTTTGGTTTTTTTGGGGACCGGAATGATAGTGGAGCGTTTGAAGCAGCAGGGAACTTCACACAGCTCCAGTGATCTGTTGAAGATCTGTGTAAAGGTGGGGGCCAGTTGGTCAGCACAGATTTTTAGACAGGCAGGTGAAACACCGTCTGGGCCTGAATTTTTCTTAGTCTTCTGTTTCCTGAAGACCCTGTTCACATTATTATTATACATTATAATTATTATTATTATTATTATTATTATTATTTTTTGTGTAATGATTTTTGTTATTTATAATGATTTATAATGTATTGGCACGAAATTAGTAAAGTATCGGCTATTTGGTTTTTATGAGCCAATTCTGAATATTTAATTTCTTCTGCATATTTTAAGATTATTAGAGCAGCATGTCACACAAATGTAAAAGGATAACAATAGATAATGGCAAAAAATCTTGAAGTGCATTTTCCCTTTACAACCACATATCAGAGTTTTTAGTGTTTATCTTTTTAACACTGTAACATTGATTTATAATATCAGTCATTTATTGGTAATAGTTGTATATTATTGGACTTTATATATAAATTAAATTAACCTGCTCTATTACAATGAAAGCTGTGGCACTACTGCACATGGAAGTTTCTCTGTGTTTTCCTTACTTTCTGGCTCACATTGCTTTATGTCTTTACCCCTCTTCTCCACTCTGTCCTCAGACTCAAGACTCTTCGTTGTTGTTTTTTCCTTTTTTTTTTTTAAGGGATCCCAAACCCCTCACACTGACATGACAAATAGGGCATCAACTGAACAGTTTGTTTGATCAATTGCTTTTTGGCTCACCGGGCTATCGTCGATAGAGCAGATCAATTCTTAAATAATGGTGGCCAATGAGCGAAGTGAAAGTTTGGAGTGCAGGCAGTTAAGCTGATCCATCTTTTTGGGGTGCGATCGTTTGCAGCAACGCAAAATGTAATCACCCAGTCGATTCTCTACAATTCTCAGTCATGCTGACTCTTAGCCTTGAATTATCTAGAGGCTGGCATGCACGCAGTGTGAATTAGAGCACACCTACTTGTTCAATAAATCCACCATCCCTCCACCCCCTACAACCTCTTGTAGCTGTTTGCCAGTCAGGATGAATAGTGTGAATACACCAGAGTAATGTATCATACTTGTTTTCTTTAAATGTTTGATGGAGGTTTGAGGTAGAGGTGTTTTGAGGGAGAAAAGGGTTATGGTCTTATTAATCTTTTATATTTACTCATCTGCCTGAGTAAATCTGGAAGGACAGGTACTGTATGTCTCTGCTGTACACAAATGTAACCTTACACCTCATAGGATCTTTTATTTTTATTTGCTTTCTGATATTGTCATGAGAATGCCATGAGCTTATTGCAGGTATGATTCCTCTGAAGTTGCATAGGGTTTAAGGACTTTGCTCAATGATGAACTTCACACAGCTCCAGTGATCTGTTGAAGATCTGTGTAAAGGTGGGGGCCAGTTGGTCAGCACAGATTTTTAGACAGGCAGGTGAAACACTGTCTGGGCCTGAATTTTTCTTAGTCTTCTGTTTCCTGAAGACCCTGTTCACATTATTATTATACATTATAATTATTATTATTATTATTATTATTATTATTTTTTGTGTAATGATTTTTGTTATTTATAATGATTTATAATGTATTGGCACGAAATTAGTAAAGTATCGGCTATTTGGTTTTTATGAGCCAATTCTGAATATTTAATTTCTTCTGCATATTTTAAGATTATTAGAGCAGCATGTCACACAAATGTAAAAGGATAACAATAGATAATGGCAAAAAATCTTGAAGTGCATTTTCCCTTTACAACCACATATCAGAGTTTTTAGTGTTTATCTTTTTAACACTGTAACATTGATTTATAATATCAGTCATTTATTGGTAATAGTTGTATATTATTGGACTTTATATATAAATTAAATTAACCTGCTCTATTACAATGAAAGCTGTGGCACTACTGCACATGGAAGTTTCTCTGTGTTTTCCTTACTTTCTGGCTCACATTGCTTTATGTCTTTACCCCTCTTCTCCACTCTGTCCTCAGACTCAAGACTCTTCGTTGTTGTTTTTTCCTTTTTTTTTTTTAAGGGATCCCAAACCCCTCACACTGACATGACAAATAGGGCATCAACTGAACAGTTTGTTTGATCAATTGCTTTTTGGCTCACCGGGCTATCGTCGATAGAGCAGATCAATTCTTAAATAATGGTGGCCAATGAGCGAAGTGAAAGTTTGGAGTGCAGGCAGTTAAGCTGATCCATCTTTTTGGGGTGCGATCGTTTGCAGCAACGCAAAATGTAATCACCCAGTCGATTCTCTACAATTCTCAGTCATGCTGACTCTTAGCCTTGAATTATCTAGAGGCTGGCATGCACGCAGTGTGAATTAGAGCACACCTACTTGTTCAATAAATCCACCATCCCTCCACCCCCCACAACCTCTTGTAGCTGTTTGCCAGTCAGGATGAATAGTGTGAATACACCAGAGTAATGTATCATACTTGTTTTCTTTAAATGTTTGATGGAGGTTTGAGGTAGAGGTGTTTTGAGGGAGAAAAGGGTTATGGTCTTATTAATCTTTTATATTTACTCATCTGCCTGAGTAAATCTGGAAGGACAGGTACTGTATGTCTCTGCTGTACACAAATGAAACCTTACACCTCATAGGATCTTTTATTTTTATTTGCTTTCTGATATACAACCTCTTGTAGCTGTTTGCCAGTCAGGATGAATAGTGTGAATACACCAGAGTGTAATGTATCATACTTGTTTTCTTTAAATGTTTGATGGAGGTTTGAGGTAGAGGTGTTTTGAGGGAGAAAAGGGTTATGGTCTTATTAATCTTTTATATTTACTCATCTGCCTGAGTAAATCTGGAAGGACAGGTACTGTATGTCTCTGCTGTACACAAATGTAACCTTACACCTCATAGGATCTTTTATTTTTATTTGCTTTCTGATATTGTCATGAGAATGCCATGAGCTTATTGCAGGTATGATTCCTCTGAAGTTGCATAGGGTTTAAGGACTTTGCTCAATGATGCAACTGGTTATGGATTCTTACAGCGATCAGACCTGGAAACTTTCTTTTTACTTACCCTGAACCTTCACCACTGCATCATGCCGTCACGCAGAAGTGCACTGCTACTGGGCCAGCAGGATTCAAACTTGTTTTTAGAAGCATAAATAGATTAATGGTCCGTATGTTAGCACAGGGGCTAAAATATTAGCACAAATCCACTCCCAAGTCCCTTTTATTTGCATTCATTGTCATCTTGACCTTTTTTGTTATTTTTTCCCCCCTACTGCTTTCCTTTCATTTTCTCCTTTCACTTTCCTACAGTGTGGTTAATTTTAATTTGTATTATTTTTTTTCATTATATTTATTGTAAATGGTTAGCTGTTCATGGTTACATTTATTAACATTCATTTTAGGTATCATGAATAAACAATGAACAATGTTTTTTTTATAGTATTTATCATTTTAGTGTTAATGTTAATTTAAAACTACAATTTGCATTAATTCATGTGTTAATAAAATTATTGTTCATTGTTAGTTCATAATACTTACTGCATTAACGTCTTAAACTGAGCTGAACCTTATTGTGAAGTGTTACTCAAATACTGTTCAAAGGTGTGGGGTCAGTAAATTTAAAAAACAAAAAACTTTTATTCAGCAAAAATGCATGAGGCTGATTAAAAGTGATAGACGTTTATAATTTTACAAAATATTTTTATATCAAATAAATGCTGTTCTTTTTGAACTTTCTATTTATCCTGTAAAACAGTGGTTGCCAACCCATTGATCACGAATCACTATCGACTGGTAGATCTTTATCACTGTTCCAGTAGCTCCGAAATACATCAGAAAAATAAGTACAAAAATACATTACACTTCTCCATTCTTTTTACTGTATTTTTTTTGTACTTATTTTTCTGTTATTTTCGGGAGCTACTGAGACAGTGATAAAGAAAAATACATCATGCAGCTCACTGTTCATGAAATACAGCAAGAAAATATAAATACTGAATTGGGGGTGAGGGGTTATATGAATGTATCACTGAAGGGAAAAAGTTTCGTCTTCAGAAAAGTTTCGAATAGCAATGGCATTTTCTTCTCCTCTTGCCTCTATATAAAGTGGTATTTTTAAGTGCAGCGCTGCTTTGTTTACAGCGGTAACCAAAGAAACGCTGAATCGCTGATGTTATTTTTAAGGCCAGTTTGCTTGTTATAGAGCAAATGACCAATAAATAAATGTCCTTAAAAAATAAATAAAAATAAACTGAATCGCCAATGAATAATCATGATCGGTGCATCACTAATTAAAATACTAAATAAAAGGCCTCAAATTGGAAGTACAATCTTTTTCAATCAATTCATCAATAGGTAGATCTTGTCTTTCATAAAGGCAGAGGTCAGGGATCTTGGGCTTGAAAAGGTTGGTGACCACTGCTGTAAAACAATCATGGTTTTCACAAAAATATTTTGTGAAAATATTTTGGATAATGTGACACTGAAGACTGGAATAATGGGTGCCTAAAATTTAGCTTTGCCATCACAGGAATAAATTACATTTGAAAATATATTAAAATAGAAAATGGTTATTTTAAGTTGTAACAATATTTCAAAAAAGCAAATCTTACTAGCCCAAGTTTTTGAACAGTAGCATTTGTTTTAAAGTCATTTTAGAAACAAGAACTGAATTAATATGGAGCATGTATCTGCTGTTTGTTCCTTTTTGTCTCTTGTTTTCATAGTTCGGAGCAGTTCCAGTGGTGTTAACGTCAGTGCAGTCTGTACCGGCCTTGTCTTCAACTGCCTCTTCCTTATGTCCCCCTGCCCCACCTCTTCCTCCACCTGTTCCTGGAGCTCCAGCTCCGCCACCTCCACCACTTCCACCAGGCTGTGCCTCCATGCCCGGGATGCCTCCACCTCCTCCTCCTCTGGGGCTGGGCGTGCTGACATCCTCCACAATCCAACTCATACTGCCTTTCGGTCTCAAACCCAAGAAGGAATTCAAGCCAGAGACTTCCATTAAGCGCCTCAATTGGTCCAAGGTAACATTTTCTGTACCGTAAATAACTTTTCTTTAGTCTTTAACTTCACTTAAACCCTTACGGGACAGAATCCTCCTGTGGTGCTCAAATGTGGTGGCGACAGTAGCATAAAAGGACAGATGTTTGTGAAGTAACCGAAGAAAACTTTCCTGCCAAGCGTCATTAAAGCAAATGTTGCTCTATTGTGAAGGATCACACTTTACTGTATGACTGGCTGCTCTGGTTTCTCGGCAGATGTTGCAAGACGATGTCTTTCGAGTTGTGTTAGTTTATAAGATTAAGATTAATATTTAATCTCTGTCCTTTTTGCCACCATCATACAGATGTTTTTAAAGAACCCACCATATGCTACATTTCATCCAAAACCTGTTTGTAATTAGCCATTAAAAGGACTTTTTTTGAACAGCTGCTTGAGAAACTGACGCCATACAATATTCATGGCTCTTGACCGAAGATTTTTAATATTCATTAACAAGAGCTTTGCAGCTCAGGAAGCCAAAGACAAGACAACTGGTTAGGGCTGGGCGATATAGCTAAAAAATTTATCAACGATATAATGTTTCATATCATTCGGTATCGATAATTATTGACATTTTTTATAACCTTTTTAAAAATAAAGGGCAATATAATTTTTTTTTTTTTTAATTTAACCACTGCATTTTTAAATTAAACCAATTTATTGAGACAAACAACATATTTTTTGTTTTAACTGTCAAACACACAATAAAAATTAAACAAATATCTAATTTCTAATGTTTTATATGCAGATTAAATAGGTCTTAATGAAACTTTTGGCTTGTCTCCTGAGGCCACAGGAGGGCGCAATGAGCAAAATAATGCAGCGCATTTAAATTGTCAACGCAAGGAAATAAATGTCTATTAAAAAAACCTGTATTACCTCTAAATTAACTGATATAAATCAAATATAATTTCGTAAATTGCATAAACAATTATGAACAAAACAGCATCATGTATTTATGCATTGCTTAATACAAAGAGCCAAATCGCCCATCATGCAGATTGGATTTAAAAACATAAGAGAGACAGTGAAAAGGAATAAAACTCCACAAATTCACTACGTGTTTTCTAAAAGTTTAAACTGTTTTAAATTTGCATGGCTACATCTCTTGTGTGAGACGCGAGTGCAGCAGTCATATTTGTCCATCATAAATGGCTTGGTTTTGGTTTTTTACCTAATCTTCTCCGCATTGAGCTTCTGTATTTCTCTAATATTTTGAATGCATAACACAGCAGCGGCGCGTCTCGTGGGCTAGACTAACAAAACATTCAAATGCAACAACGTCACTTACATCATTATCACCGCGTCTCGTGTGCCACTGTACGCTCCCTGACGCACTCCTAACATTCAAATGCAAATGTTTATTTTAAATTCGACTAATTAATTTTTTTAATTCACAATCTCCCCATCACAGGCAGGCACAGCACTCAATTCAGCATGTGTTTGTGTTTGCTGTCTGCGTCACTCATAACACGTGCCTATATCGTGCACTATATCGAATATTTTTTATATCGTTATCCAAGAAGGTGTACCGTCGATAAATATCGATACCGTTTTATCGCCCAGGCTTACAACTGGTGCACCATGGGAAACATTCCATCCTGTGCCCGTCAGAGGGGAAGAACGTAGCAGCACATGTTCGCTTAATCAGACACGTGGTTGGGCACATGGGTTAATCACTTCCACTAAGAGGCTACTCTTCAGGCTTAAGTTCAGTCAGTTACTGAGCGTTTGATTTCTTTGTACATGTCCTCCTGGAGCAGATTTGAAGAGCTGTTATTGGCTCAGATATTTGGCAGGAGTGTGAGGTCTGTTCATTAGCACAGCCGGTCTCACTGATTACCCTTTCAGTCTTTATCTCAACAAGAAGACTCCATTAAACTGATCATTCCACAATGCTCTGCTCTCCCCCAATGTTACCATGGCTTTCTTTCTAACTTCCAGATTAGATCTTAGAACAGCATTAAGATACTGTTTGTAGTCTTTTCTTTGTCTTATCATGAATGAAACAAAAATTTAAATGGTCATTTACTCATCCTTATGTCATGCTAAACCTCTGCATAACACAGCAGCGGCGCGTCTCGTGGGCTAGACTAACAAAACATTCAAATGCAACAACGTCACTTACATCATTATCACCGCGTCTCGTGTGCCACTGTACGCTCCCTGACGCACTCCTAACATTCAAATGCAAATGTTTATTTTAAATTCGACTAATTAATTTTTTTAATTCACAATCTCCCCATCACAGGCAGGCACAGCACTCAATTCAGCATGTGTTTGTGTTTGCTGTCTGCGTCACTCATAACACGTGCCTATATCGTGCACTATATCGAATATTTTTTATATCGTTATCCAAGAAGGTGTACCGTCGATAAATATCGATACCGTTTTATCGCCCAGGCTTACAACTGGTGCACCATGGGAAACATTCCATCCTGTGCCCGTCAGAGGGGAAGAACGTAGCAGAACGTCTGTTCGCTTAATCAGACACGTGGTTGGGCACATGGGTTAATCACTTCCACTAAGAGGCTACTCTTCAGGCTTAAGTTCAGTCAGTTACTGAGCGTTTGATTTCTTTGTACATGTCCTCCTGGAGCAGATTTGAAGAGCTGTTATTGGCTCAGATATTTGGCAGGAGTGTGAGGTCTGTTCATTAGCACAGCCGGTCTCATTGATTACCCTTTCAGTCTTTATCTCAACAAGAAGACTCCATTAAACTGATCATTCCACAATGCTCTGCTCTCCCCCAATGTTACCATGGCTTTCTTTCTAACTTCCAGATTAGATCTTAGAACAGCATTAAGATACTGTTTGTAGTCTTTTCTTTGTCTTATCATGAATGAAACAAAAATTTAAATGGTCATTTACTCATCCTTATGTCATGCTAAACCTCTATAAGTTTCTTCTGTTGAGCATAAAAGAATATATTTTTTGAAGAATCTGGGTAACAAACAGTTGACTGTAGCCAATGACTTCCATAGTATGGGAAAAAGTACTATGGAAGTCAATGGTTATCCACGTTCTTCAAATGATCTTCTTTTGTGTCAAGCAGAAGAAAGAAACAGTAACAACATGAGGGTGAGTAAATGATGACAGAATTTTCATTTTTGGATGTAGTATCCCTTTAATTTAGTTTTTGTTTCCTCTTTTATACTTTTTTTGTTTCTTTACTTTCTTCGTTCCTTCCTTTTGTTACTACTTTCATTTCATTTTGTTTCCTCCTTTCTTTTTATTTTCTTCTGTACTACTTTTCTTTAATATTTGTTTTTGCCATTCATTTTTCACTATTTTGTTTTTGTTTCCTCCTTTACTTTTGTCTTTTCATTGCTTTTTTCCCCCTGAATGATGATCACCAGTTTGTGCTCCCTCAGTGCAGTGCTTCATGGGTGTTTTAGGCGTGCGTGCGTGTGTGTGTGGCCCGTGTGTGGTGATGTGTGACTGGAGATCTCGGCCCTGTGTATTCATGTACTGAGACGACTGAGAATGAGCCTCTCCAGGGCTGCATTCAGATGTCACACACACTGACATGTAGGAGAACAAAATAAAGACCAGCGATAGAACACAGTATGAATATTTGAATAGGTTTCCTCTTTACTTTTTCATAAACCACCTCACTGTTTGGATGCCTCACGTTGCCTAGCAACTCCAGCATCCTGACCTCCCATGATGTGTCATGATGATGTCAGGCCATGATACATTTTTTTTTCTTTCTTTGTTTTCTGTTTCTGCCCAGATCTCACCCCAGGAGATGTCCGAGAACTGTTTTTGGGTCATCGCCAAAGAGGACCGTTACGAGAATGAGGACCTGCTGACCAGGCTCGCCATCACCTTCAGCACACAGAGAGCTGGTCAGTCAATGTTAATGCTTCTGTGTAGTCACTGCATAAATACTGTTCTGCAGTAGCATAATCAACATTTCTTAGAGGGTCAGCAGTCTCAGCACTTTTATTTTTTAGAACCTTGGGCTTCCTAGCCATTGTGAAGTAATAAGGAGGACAGAAACTATTGCTTCAAAACATAAGAGAAGCTAACCTTGAATTTTTCCTGGCTATGTGTAGCACCTGTTGCTCTGCATATCTTTCTAAACAAGTGCACCGTTAGAAACAAAATGCTGACGCTTTCACTTTAGTCTGACCTTCAGACTTTATGTGGCTCATTTCAGCTCATATTGTTTAGTTAATGTTTCATAATATAAAACAGCTTTACAAAAAAGCTGATATTGAAGAATGGGGCAGCACAAAACTATATTAGAACCTAACTGCAAATAAAGAACTCCATCGATATCATCATAATTTTAACAATTCATGACGTTTTCCGTTTTAAGCTCAAGTTTATGAATGTTTTATGTTGGTAGTTCTATTTTCTTGAGGTATTCAAATGTATTTGAGGAAATTTCTGTCGTAGTTTGTGTTGGATATATATTTTTTCCCCATGCGGTTTTCTGTGTGCTTTTTTGTGCTATTGAGGCTGTGTGGAAAGTACAGGCATATAATGAACACCCTTCGATTTGGAAATATTCAGTTTTTGCCCAAGAATCAGCTTTCAAAATGTTCTACCTTCATCAGTCAGACTTGTAACCGTCCTTGACTGAACTATGTGGGCTTTAGACACTGACTCGCAAACTGATGTCAGAAACGATTTTATTTTTGATATTCCCTCCAACACTTTGACAGGACCGTTGCCTGCTGCTGTTACTATTGGGTTTCTGTACCGCTACCCACACACAGACACTAAATAAAGGGAAGGGAGTTAGGCACACCAGAAATTAGTTTTGCACCTAGAACAAGGTTTTGGATTTAGTCATTTAAACATAACAGCCACAAGATCATTAAGATCCCTCTCTCTCTCTCGCTCTTCCCCTACTGATGATTTATTCACATTTAGCTTGTTTTGAACTGCTCCGGCATGTTGCTTTGTTTTTTTTCTTTTCTTTTTCTTTCAATTATTCATATCAGCATTGTCTACCTGTCACTACCTAGCTCTGTATGCAGATATCTCATTCTGTCTTCCGCCTGTCTCAGAACCCACAGGGATGATGTTATGCGACCGAACCTTGAATTATGCACACAGTTTATGATGTCTAGCTTCAATAGGGCAAATGGTGAAAGTGTGTTTTACAAGGTTGTCAGATTATTTAAATTATAATGTGTGTGTGAGGCAGATATTTTACATGCTGGCAAATCATACTTTAATTATGCGACCATGCATCATCCTCAACTCCATCAGGTAAACAAAGTTCATCTTCCTCATTGTGACTTTCCACCTCGTTACTTTCTTCTAAGCTATTTTATCCATCCATTTACTTTTCTTTCTTTTGAACTTAAGTGAGAAGCTTTTTAATGAGTTTCCCTCAAACTTACTACTGGATACTTTGGAGTGTTTTTTGTTGTTAGAGAAGGCTTTGAACTAAGCATGTTTCTTTTTATTCTGAGTAATGTCATTCTAAATCACTTCAACTGAGACGACCAAAGTCGAACAATGTGTCAGAGAGACTCTACAGTACATATAGATAGTAAATACAATAAATTCAGTGTGACTTTACAGTACGACAACTGGTAATTAAGGCAACAGCTAACCAGTGGCAGCCAGACAACTGTATGAATAAGAACAAAAGCTTGAGATATTCAACTAGTTAGCCAGCATCTGACTAATTAGTTAGTGGCCTATTAGTTAGTGACCTTAAATAGTGAGTTTTTTTTTTATATACAAAAAGTGTTCAGTACTTTTTCGGTATTTTTTTATTTTAGTATTAAGTTAAACATTTTTACATCAACAGTTGTAATAATGTAATAATAATTTTATATTTGGAAGGTGGTCCCTTGTTGGCAAATTTTAGAGTCTTTGGTATCAAAATGCTTTAAAAAATCTGCTTTTGTAGGCATTGATTAGAGTAAGTGTTAGATATGCCAAGTGGTTAGTAGCTATGTTTTAATTGCAATACGTATGTCCACTGTCTGCTTTGCACAATATTGACCTGCTTTGCTTTTACTAACAGCTCTGTCTAGGTTAGAGTTCTTAGATGGGTGTTATAGACTGGCTCTGCCTCTTAACCTGAAGCAGGATTTGGTGCTGTCAGTCATACACTCTCCAGTCCTTGAGAAATGAAGACAACCTGTCAGATTCCACTTCACTTTACTTAAGGCCCGAGAACGCCATGTTTCCTGATGTGGTTACAGAACTCATGACAGCCGGGATCCAGATTTCCGCTCAACAAACCAATCGCACAGCATCTCTGGTCACCCAGGGGCCCATCAGAGTTCTTTCACATCTCCCTCGCAGATGGACTGCTCTCCTTTCACTCCTCATCAAGTGTCTTTGGGAGCTGCAGCGAGTGCTTTTGTTTCGGTTTTATTTATTCATTGCATTTCTTTAAGAAACAGAAGCTAACGTTTTCAATCCTCACGTCAGGATGGCATCTGAAAGGAAGGTGTACTGCTCGCTGCTCTTCATCCCGTCTCTGCACCGACATCTGGAGCCCAATTAAACATTAGCCATAAGAATCAAGACTTCTACTTACTATAAAATATTTATTTTCACCACTGCTGTTCATTGTTCTCTGCTGATGCGGTGCTCGCAATTGTAATTTTACAGTGTGAAATCTGATAAAGTCCTGTTATTTCGCCTCATACTCTTCCCGTCAAAGCTGCACATGCAGGAAACAATCACCAGCAGAGGCTTATTAGAGCAAGCTTGCCCTGCCTCTGACTTTTATTAGCCCTCTATCACGATGATTCAGGCCTTTGTTGGACCATTGAGTGATTGCTGGAATAGAGCCCACACACAAAAACATGCCCTGCAATCTGCCGCCCTGATACTACCGTATGCAGTTTCTCACAACTTGCTAAAATTATCCATCAGTCAGAAAGCTCCTTGTCTTCCTCATTGCCATTGGCAGTTTGAGTACAGGGTGTCTAAGGAACCATAGTAGAGGAGTGCAGGAAGAATCTGTATAAGTAGAAAGATTGTGGAAGCTGTTATATTTGGTCATTCACTAGACCTACTCCATGTTTTAATAGTTTTATATAATGTTATAAGAAGTTTTTTTAAGTTTTTTCTATGATCCTTTTTCGTCTTTAAAAGGACCATAGAATTAGTTCTTTCTTTCTTTCTTTTTTTTGATCCAATTTTAAACTTGTGATTTATTAGTAACTGGACATTATCCAGTCCACTATCGACCAGTTTGATATTTCGATCCAACCATTCATTGAGTTCAGCTTGAACCTGAAAACAGTTACACTCTCTGAAAGAATATCCTAAAAATGCTTGAAAATGTCATTTAAGTGACCATTAATACATTTTAAATTGTTGTATAAGTGTATTATAGTTTACACTACTGTTCAAAAGTATATGGAGTCAGTTTTTTAACACAATGAATACTTTCATTTAGCAAGGATGCATTAATAGTTAATAGAACCCTTAATAGTGCATTAATAGAACCCTTAATAGTGTTTTGGCACAACTGTTTTAAACAAATGTTTCTTCAGCAGCAAATCAGCCTATTAAAATGGTTTCTGTAAGGATCATGTGACATTGAAGAATGGAAAAATGGCTGCTGAAAATTCAGGTTTGCCATGAATCAATGACATTTTAAAATATATTGAAAAAGAAAACGTATTTAAGTTATTGTAACATTTTAACATACTTATTTGAACATTTCACATTTTTCACAATATTACTGTTTTTTTTCTCTGCATTTTTTGTCAAATAAATGCAGCTTTGGTGAACAAAAGTATGTGTTGTACGTAAACTACGTGTACTGCGTTAGGCTAACCGAGACTTGTCATTTGCACTTATATATTGTTGCTCTTTTGTTAGTTTTGACTGCTTTTATTGTCCTCATTTGTAAGTCGCTTTGGATAAAAGCGTCTGCTAAATGACTAAATGTAAATGTAACCAAAAACACTTTGGTTTATACAAATTGTTGTATAAGTGTATTATAGTTTACACTACTGTTCAAAAGTATATGGAGTCAGTTTTTTAACACAATGAATACTTTCATTTAGCAAGGATGCATTAATAGTTAATAGAACCCTTAATAGTGCATTAATAGAACCCTTAATAGTGTTTTGGCACAACTGTTTTAAACAAATGTTTCTTCAGCAGCAAATCAGCCTATTAAAATGGTTTCTGTAAGGATCATGTGACATTGAAGAATGGAAAAATGGCTGCTGAAAATTCAGGTTTGCCATGAATCAATGACATTTTAAAATATATTGAAAAAGAAAACGTATTTAAGTTATTGTAACATTTTAACATACTTATTTGAACATTTCACATTTTTCACAATATTACTGTTTTTTTTCTCTGCATTTTTTGTCAAATAAATGCAGCTTTGGTGAACAAAAGTATGTGTTGTACGTAAACTACGTGTACTGCGTTAGGCTAACCGAGACTTGTCATTTGCACTTATATATTGTTGCTCTTTTGTTAGTTTTGACTGCTTTTATTGTCCTCATTTGTAAGTCGCTTTGGATAAAAGCGTCTGCTAAATGACTAAATGTAAATGTAACCAAAAACACTTTGGAAGGGTAGTGTATAACCAACACTATTGAACATTTCAAGTTTTCCAAGCTGTCCACTCAGCATTCTAGCTTAGCACACTATTAGCCGATTAGCTTGCTGTGTAATAATATGTTTTCTTACTGATAGGGCAGTTTTTTTTGATCAGGCATTATAAACCACATGTGGTCGACTCAACTCGACAGGCAAACCAAATTGTTCATGACACTGGTAATTTTTTAGAAAATGCTGTCTTTTGAAATATAAGAATTGACTATGAATACGTTGTAAGCTTCAGTACAGTTGAAAAGACAATGTGGACAAATGGCTTATTGTGAAAACTTTTGAT